GACACGTCCCCGGCCGGGTGACACCCAGGGGTGACAGCGGCCTGGGGACGTGTCCTTGTGGTGCTGAGGGGGTGACAGTGGCATGGGGACATGTCCCTGTGGCACCCAGGGATGACATTGATGTGGGGATGTGTCCCTGTGGTACCTGGGGGTGACAGTGGCATGGGGACATGTCCTTGTGGCGCTGAGGGGTGACAGGAGTAGGGACACCTCCCTTTGGCACCCAGGGGTGACACTGATGTGGGGATGTGTCCATGTGACACCCAAGGGTGACAGTGCTCTGTGCCATGTGACACCAGGGGTGACAGTGCTCTGTGCCATGTGACACCAGAGGTGACAGTGCCATGTCCGTGAGACACCAGATGTGACAATGTTCGTGCCACGTGACACCAGGGGTGACAGTGCTCTGTGCCAGGTGACACCAGGGGTGACAGTGCCATGTGACACCAGGTGTGACAGTGTTTGTGCCATGTCCATGTGACACCAGAGGTGACAATGCTCTGTGCCATGTGACACCAGGGGTGACAGTGCCATGTGACACCAGGTGTGACAGGGTTTTGTGCCATGTCCATGTGACACCAGAGGTGACAATGCTCTGTGCCATGTGACACCAGGGGTGACAGTGCCATGTCCCCACTGCCCCCATGCCGAGGTGCCACCCCACACACCCCGATGTCCCCTTGGTGCCACCTTGCGGTCGCGGTGCCACCGGGGGCCGGCTGGGCTGTCCCTGAGCCGTGTCCCCGCTGTCCCCAGGCCCCCCCAGGACATCAGCCTGGAGGAGTTCGATGACGAGGACCTGTCCGAGATCACGGACGACTGCGGCATCGGCCTCAACTACGACTCTGACCACTACGAGAAGGTGCGGGGGCCTGGTGGCCCTTGGGGACACGGCGGGGTCATGAGCTGGCACAGCCCAGTGGTGGCACCGCTGTGGTGGCTTTGGTGGCTCTCTGTGGGCACTGAGGCAAAGGGGACGAACCCAGCCTCGACTTTTGGTGTCTCCAAGACCTCAAACCCAACCCAACCTCAAGTTTTGGGATCTCCAGCCCCTCAAACCCAACCCAACCTCAACATTTCGTGTCTCCAAGACCCCAAACCCAACCCAACCTCCACTTTTGGTGTCCCCCCTGATTCTAAGATGACTTTTGGGATCTCCAGCCCCTCAAACCCAACCCAACCTCGACGTTTGGTGTCTCCAACCCCTGAAACCCAACCCAGCCTTGACTTTTGGGATCTCAAACCCAACCCAACCATGACTTTTGGGATCTCCAGCCCCTCAAACCCAACCCAACCACGACTTTTGGTGTCTTCAACCCCCCAAACCCAACCCAACCTCCACTTTTGGGATCTCAAATCCCTCAAACCCAACCCAACCTTCACTTTTGGTGTCCCCCCTGATTCTAAGATGACTTTTGGGGTCTCCAACTCTTCAAACCCAACCCAACCTCAACTTTTGGTGTCTCCAAAACCCCAAACCCAACCCCACCTCAATGTTTGAGGATCTCCAACCCTTCAAACCAAACCAAACCTTGACTTTTGGTGTCTCCAGGTCCCCAAACCCAACCCAACCTCCACTTTTGGGATCTCAAATCCCTCAAACCCAACCCAACCTCGACTTTTGGTGTCTCCAACCCTTCAAACCCAACCCAACCTTGACTTTTGGTGTCCCCCATGATTCCAAGCTGACTTCTGATGATCTCCAACCCCTCAAACCCAACCCAACCTCAACATTTGATGGTGTCCAAACTTCAAACCCAACCCAACCTTGACTTTTGGTGTCTCCAACCCCTCAAACCCAACCCAACCTTGACTTTTGGTGTCTCCAAGACCACAAACCCAACCCAACCTTGACTTTTGGTGTCTCCAACCCCTCAAACCCAACCCAACCTCGACTTTTGGGATCTCCATGACCCCAAACCCAACCCAACCTTGACTTTTGGTGTCCCCCCTGATTCCAAGCTGATTTCTGATGATCTCCAACCCCTCAAACCCAACCCAACCTCAACCTTTGATGGTGTCCAAACTTAAAACCCAACCCAACCTTGACTTTTGGTGTCTCCAACCCCTCAAACCCAACCCAACCTCGACCTTTGGGATCTCCAACCCTTCAAACCCAACCCAACCGTGACTTTTGGGATCTCAAACCCCTCAAACCCAATCTCACCTCAACTTTTGGTGTCTCCAACCCCTCAAAGCTACCCCAATCTCAATTTTTGGGATCTCCAAGACCCCAAACCCAACTCAACCTCAACTTTTGGAACCCCCCATGATTCCAAGCTGACTTTGGATGATCTCCAACCCCTCAAACCCAGCTCAACCTCGACTTTTGGTGTCTCCAACCCTTCAAATCCAACCCAACCTCAACATTTGATGATCTCCAACCCTTCAAACCCAACCCAACTTTGACTTTTGGTGTCTCCAACTCCTCAAACCCAACCCAAGCTCGACTTTTTTGATCTCCAACCCCTCAAACTCAACCCAACCTCGACTTTTGGTGTCTCCAAGACCCCAAACCCAACCCAACCTCGACTTTTGGTGTCTCCAACCCCTCAAACCCAACCCAACCTCCACTTTTGGGATCTCCAACCCCTCAATCCCAACCCAACCTCAACTTTTGGTATTCCCCATGATTCCAAACTGATTTCTGATGATCTCCAACCCCTCAAGCCCAACCCCACCTCGACTTTTGGTGTCTCCAAGACCCCAAACCAAACCAAACCTCGACTTTTGGTGTCTCCAAGACCCCAAACCCAACCCAACCTTGACTTTTGGTGTCTCCAACCCCTCAAACCCAACCCAACCTCAACTTTTGGTGTCTCCCATGACTCCAAGCTGACTTTGGATGATCTCCTGTTTCTCCAACCCCTCAAACCCAACCCAACCTTGACTTTTGGTGTCTCCAAGACCCCAAACCCAACCCAACCTCGACTTTTGAACTTGTCCCCTCTTGGCCAGCCCGCAGGGGACCGGGGACGCTGCCATCCCCGGGTTGCCGGGAGGGTGACCAGCAGTTTCCCCTGCCCCTGACACGCTGTCACCCTCAGGACTGCCTGGTGCTGGAGCGCGGGGAGCAGCCGCACCCCGTCTGCACCTTCCAGGACGACTTCCAGGAGTTCGAGATGATCGACGACAACGACGACGATGACGACGAGGAAGAGGAGGAGGAGGAAGGCAACGAGCTGGAGGCGCCGCCGTCCCCTTCGGCCTCGCCCATCCCCTCGCCCGCGCTGGAGGAGACGCAGAAGCATCGCCCCACCAGCCTCAACCTGACAGCCCCGGGCACACAGGTGAGGCCGCGGGGGTCACTGTCCCCTCCCCCTGAGGGGTCACTGTCCCCTCCCGCGGTCATTGTCCCCTCCCCGCTCCTGGGGTCACTGTCCCCTCGAGGGGTCACTGTCCCCACT